CGTTGAAGTGTCTTGTCGAATATGGTATTACTGTCAAGACGCCTAACAATGCACCTACAAAATGGAGCCATCAAAGAACATTGTGCTCGCATCCACAACCAAAAACTCACACGTCAGGGCCTAGTACAAAACACCAAAGTAAACCACCAATTTAACGACTTCACAACTCTTCAAATACACGAAGCAATAAAAATCCTACAGCAAACTCCCATAATCAACAAACAATCGACAGGAACAGCATGCACACTGCTACTTCTTAGCGAGAAACCGCCAAGCTACAATACAACACTCCACCAATTAACGCCTTCCACGAGATAGATACCACCACCTGCTTACCCATACCTATAAATATCCACCAACAGTAATCACAATTCACACAACATTCAACCTTGATAATGAATGCAGAACGCATTCGAAACGCGTCAGCCAACTCATCACTAGCTACAACTTTTACCCGTTGTTCTAACAACGTTAAGACGGCTTATCAACTTCTTGAGAAGAATTCTAAGAAGAAAGTAAATATATATATATACATATTTCTCTACATTTTCTTTATAATCAATTTATTTGAAATGTTGAAAAAACTATACTCATGATCTAAACAAAAGACTTAGATGATACTATATTTCCATTAGGGTATAGTTCCATTGTTAATGTTTTACACTTTAGAATTTATCATTATGAATGATATTATCTTCTATTAATATTTTAGCTTACAAAATTGCTCACTATTCTTAGAACATCACCCAGCAACATGAAGGCATAATAAAGCAAACTGTGTCTTTATGAAAAAGATCAGTGCTTTTCTCATACTAAATTAATAAACCATCCCAAGACATATTTTAGTTATCTATCAATCATATACTTTAATGAAAAATGAATCAACCAACTTATCTTGTTATTGAGTCATTGTGTTTGTTTCATTTCCATACCTTCACACCAATGAATCATGACAAATGTGACCTTTTATAATAATTAATAATAATATATAGTTTGAACTGTTTTGTCTAAAAAATTAAAAGTATAAAAATTAAAACTAAAAGGTAAAAAAAAGTTACAATATTTACATTATCTATACCAATATAATACAAGAAGTTACAAAATGCAAACCAGTAAAGGTGATATAAATATGGGATTAAGACACATAATGCTAAGAAATCGTGCACAGCTGACCTCATTCTATTAAACTTTCAGTTTCATAATATTATAGAACTGGAAGCCATGTTGCCACAAAATAAGTTGCCCAAGATTAGGCTTAACTTTTGAATGGTTTGATTTTTTTTTCTATGACAAAAGTTTTACTACTGATATATTTAACTCAGCTGCTTAAAAACTGAATTAAATTGACTATCAACTTACTCATAATCCCTGAAAACTTCATGAGTCAATTTAAAATAAAATAACTGTTCTTGAGGCTTCACATCAGGCGGTGTCTTCTTTCTCACAAATGGTTGTTTTCCCAACAGCGGCATTTTCCGACTTGAATTTTGGAGGGAAATTAAGTTGTATCTATTCTAAAGTGGTAGTATATATTACGTTTCTTCACTACTTCACAAAATGTCCGAGCAAAATTACGAACTTTAAAACGATAAATAAAATTAATCTTACCGTATTTCTTATGTTATAAAAGTAACCTTTAATTTTTAAGAAAGCTTTCTTTCTCCATAGGCATCACTTCGTTCGAGTGCACATTCACATTACCAACAGCACACGTCGTGTATGTGGTCTAAACTAAAGACTAAACTGTAGTGATAACTAAAGTAATATTTATATTTAACTTAAGAATTACGAGAAATTATTATTTTTTGCTTAACAATTATAATAATGGTCACAATAAAGTGTAGAAGACATGCGTTAATCATAAAGAATAGTAATGTAAATTTAACTTCCACTTTATCATGTACCAAATAACCCGCTCACGCCTGTTGCAGAATTCTAAATTGTGTTTTATAGAGGGCACTTATTGGTACAGATTATTTTCTTCCCGCGTGAGGGAGGAACCTTCAAACAAAAGACATTGCCTAGCTTCAAGGCATAATTTTTAGTCCAGCTCTTGTAATTACAAAAAATAAAATAAAAAATATTAAAAGAAAATTCAGAAAGACAAAATTAATTTTCTATTATTATTAATATTAGTTTTCTGTGAATCCATTCATGTGGATTAAGTTTTTTGATGTACATATAAATATATTATGTAAAAAATACAATATTTTTGTTACAGATATATGCGCCACTAAAACTGTACAAATAATGCATTTATGCAAATATATGAATGGTATCATTTTAAAGAAGAGTATAGCCAAAGATGTTATAAAAGCAAACCAGTTAGAGTAATATAAATATAATACCAAAAAAATCATGCACAGGTGACCCCATAGTTCTTTGAAATGGAAAAGCCTCCCAGTGGCACAGCGGTACATCTGCGGACTTACAACGCTATAAATCGGGTTTCGATACCCGTGGTGGGCAGAGCACAGATAGCTCTTGTGTAGCTTTGTGCATAATTAGAAACAAAACAAGACTAAATGGAAAATATTTATTATGAATGAAATAAGTTTGTTTGGTGTTGTTAAACACAAAGCTACAGGACATTTCAGTTGGGATGAAGTGAACAACGGAACAAATGACGCTGCTGAAGACGTGTCAGCTGAAAAAGCCACTGTCGAAGAAGAAACTCTACTCGGTTTTGAGAAGGTAAATGTGGAAGCTCT